GCAATATTTATTGTAGGGTTATGCTCTGTTGCCTAATTCTGATTACAGGTTTATGGTTATGCCCCTATATGGTTGGGGATTTATTAACATATGCTCAACAGATAGGGCAGTATCTTTCGTTTTTGGATGAAGTATATGAATATATGCGTTAAGGGATATGCTGAGTTTATCAGTGAGGTTACAGCTAAGTTATAAATATGCCCCTATATGGTTGGAGTTTTCTGTTCATATCCATGCCCCTGTATGGTTGGGGTTTCTTCCTGTATTTAATTATCATCAGGATGATTCTCATAAATTTGTGATTCAAGTTGGCTTGTTACACCGAATTGGACATGTAATAAGACCATGGGTGATTAAAATTATGTAATCACAAACAATGCTGAAGTTTTAATGGCACACATATTTTCTTGGGCTCCTATATGGTTGGGGCCTGAATGTTTATCATGTGTAACTTGCGATGAAAATTGTATACCCCTATATGGTTGGGGAACACATGACAATTGATAAAGGTTACAAAAGTTATATGCACCTATATGGTTGGTTGACATGTTTGAAATTTTCAAGTTCTTATTTATGGCATTCCTGTTTATAAATGCTTTTGATAAGTATCTTTTATTCAAGTCCACAGTGAATTTTTGATAATTTTAATATGTTGATTGAAATGAACTAAAATGCAGATTCTAAGTGAATTTACATACATGCTTGTATTACATGATGAAAGTTTTTATATTCAAATACCAGACCTGTTTACCCATATCGCCGTCACTCAGCATTTTTGATTAGATTCATCCGTTAGACTTGGCAATTGCCAGTAAGATTTAACTTTCCATCGAATTTACATATTTTAAAACAGACCAACTGCTTTTCTGATTACAAAAACCTAATTTAACAACACGGTCTTTGTCATTCTATAATACCACAGACTTTTGGCAACCATGTTTGTTATCCTTCTCTTTTTTAGCGATCAAAAGCGTGAAACAAAGACAGATCATAACGAAAACTAACTGCTAATTCCAAACGAACATATTTCAGATTTACCTATTTTCTTAATAGCAAAACGTGAGACATATTTTAAACTAAAAATCCGTACAAAATACGGCGAAATCGTAAGAGTAAACAGGTCTGAAATACTTATACTTATACATTAACAGTATGTTTTTTACATAGTCAGTGAATTTATTGTGGCACAATAAATGTGTTTGATAAATACAGTTACTGTATTTACTAATGAAGCCTAATTTATTGACCAGAGCTGTGGTTAAAAATAAAATATATTTCATTTATATCATTATGATAACCAATTGCAGATGAGCGAACTCAGACGCCAAACAAGAGGGCGGTGAACCCAGAAGAAGCCAGCTGCAGCAGGGTCGGCAGAACAGGCTATGGAACCGACTGAAACGTCTGCTTAGGACCAGCTGGTGGTAGCGGTGACCGACAAAGTCCTGGAAACAACCAAGAACAATCAAGAAACCCAACAAGTGGTTGAAACTGGTTCTAGGGGCAGGAAAAAACACAGGGAGCCAAAGAAAAAGAGGAGAAGAATAGCGTCACCTGACAGATCACCTTCCTCTTCAGGTACTAACTCTGATTCAGATGAATCTTGTGATGATAGTTCCTCAGACGCAAATACAAGTACTGATGACTCCTCATCGGATGAGTCTGATTATGATGACAATTATTTACTATCAACGCCCATATCTGCACAGATTGAAAAAAAAATTAAGAACAAAATTTGGCAAAATAAATATATTGACTTAAGTAAACTTTCGTTAAGGGATGATGTCGGCTCAGACAGGTCTGTTCAAATTAAAAGTACAGGTAATTCTGAATTAAAATTACTTTCAGCAAAATCAAAAACTGTTATTAAGTCCATAGATCAATGGACAACAGCTTTTCTCAAATTTCTGGCTATCTATTCAGAATAAATTCCAAAACAAGTTGCATCAGTTATTAAACATGGAGAAATTGTCAGAGAGTTGGCAAGTAGTCATGCTGGATTGTCATGGATGACATATGATAAACAAGTACGTAAAGACAATGAGGCGAGGTCTATCCCTTGGGGACAATTACATTATAATGTAATTGTCTCGGCTATATTAAGGGCCGTTTTAATATATATTAATTCTTTTAAAAAAATGTTATCCATAATGGACAGGACTTGGCCGTACACAGTAACAGTTATATCGCATGTATCGGCTGTTTGTCACGTGACTTGTATAAAAATAGAATTCTTCAGCTGAATGAAGGAAATGAGGATTGTACAAGGGCATACGCTTGTTTTTTAAGAAAAAAAATAATACACCTTTAAAGATGTTAATTATCTCTACCCAAAAAGTGCTGGGAGCTAATCTGTGGTGTTTTGGAAGTACTGAAAACTTGGCCAAAAATGTGTATAATAGCTAAAAATTCCCACTTCGCTTTAATTCTGTTATGAATAAAATAATTTTATGCAGACCAAGATAAGATTCCAGCACTTTTCAAAATATACACTATTTAAGCAATAAATATTCCATATTTCAGCTCAAACTAAATAGTCTATGCCCTTGCACTTTTGATCTATATCACACGAATACGCTTATCGCTCTAGCGCTATTCTCTACATTCCTTGTCCCTGTGCAGCTTCGATACTACTAGATACATGTAAATTCACAATACAAATTGTATTTAATAAATTATTTTATTTTAGTTTTAATGATTATTTTTTAATAATAGCGATGATATTATATTTATTTAAGGATGGATTCTTCTCATATTTCTTACAATCACAGAATCTTGATTTTCTGAATACTCAATATTCAGACTGTGTACACTTATTAAACATCCAAACGAACCGGTGTAATCAGCCTTGGTTTTCGGTCAAGGTCGTTTGAAAATCAGTCCTAAAAATAGTACTTTTACACAGAGAAATTTTGAAATTTACGCATAGGAATAAATTGTGCTGACAGAAAAAAATATCTTGCTCAATAAAATTAAAGTTGTAACTTATTTTTGATCACTAACTAACATGAATTGAGATGGTGGAAAAATAAACATGAAATCCTCAATATTCAATAAAAACATTTAATCCGAATTTCCTCGATAATTTCTTTTAAATTTCTCAGTTTTCATAAATTTACATGAAATTTCATCTCAATTTTTACAATTGATCATATAATGTCAAATATTTAGATTTTTGTCAGATGAGTATTCAAATGTTGAAGATTAATTTACAAGGTAGAATTAAAGATATGGTATTCATGCTAATTATAGAACAAATGTAGCCCGAATTTACTCAACAGTTTCTGAAATCTTCCATTTTACAGAGTGGTGTTCAAATCTATAAGAAAGATTCTTAACCCCCCAAAACAGACAATTTCGTGTAATTGTGACACATATATACATTCAATTCTTCCATTTATACATTTCATTTTATGATAGTTTGTACAAATAATATTTAAAATATTTATTTCGAATTTCCTCTGTCATTTTATTCCTAGGAATAAGTTAGGTTTGACAATTTTATTAAATACATTCTGGATTCTTTTCCTATTTTATATATTCAGAAAATAATGCAACTATGCATGGAAACATTTCAAGATATGCACAATTAAATGACAAGAAAAAGATGTGGGTCATCATCCTTGATTTTGCTTGAAGGTCATTTGAAAAGTTGATGCTAAAAATAGATTTTTTCCTCCTGTGGAATTGAGAAAATCCAATGTGGTATTTTAAAATTGATGTTTTGGAAAAATGGAGATGTTTAGATATGAAAAAACAATTTAAGTCTTAAGTATTATGTTAAAGCAATGTACTAAAGTAAAAAAATAACAAACTTTTGATTACAAATGACACAAAATATTTATTCCGAATTTCCTCTGTACTCTTTATAAAGTGATATTTTAGTCTTTGACAATCAATCTTTTTCATTTAATTTTTTTTACTTAAATCATATATTCAGAAAAAAATATTTTTACAACCATAGGAAAGATAGATGTTGAATGAATCATTTACAACAAAAAAATAAAGGGGTATTCATATTTATTAAATTGCCAGGTTAGCTCGAATTTCCTCATTTTAAAAATTATCATTGAAAAAAGAAAATGCTTTCAATATATCATAAAGGCTAATAATATAAGAGACAGGACAGGCAGTTAGATAATACATTTTCTCTAAAATGTGTTATGATGTATTATTTTGGAAATAATTGCTGAAATTATTGCCATGTTTCCAAAAAACTTTTAAAAATTCAATCCGAATTTCCTCTGTTATAAAATATACTGGTTTCATTATTTACAAAAAAAGTAAAGGTTCGCGAATGAAATACATGTATATTTTTCTGAGTTAAAGGCCAAAACTTTATGTTATATTATAGAATCTTTATATGTTTTGTACATGAACTAATATATGACATGTATATAAATATTAATCAGCGCCAACAAAATTACAATAATTGTCAAGGGTGCAACATACTAGTATAAGAATCACCAATTGTTCATACAATTTTATACAATACACTGCATCTAGATTTTGAGGCTATACATAAATCACACAATAATAATTTACACATTAATACACAATAAATATGTATTACAATGATTTCTAAATATATGGTATTTCTTAATAAATAAGTGTTATTTTCAGTATTTCTGTACATTGACTATCAAAGGTATACGAGACAAATTTGATACTTTTCCTTTCAAGAAAAAAATACATCAACTTCCTTTCAAAAGTTAACTTATAATTGTTGTATTTTTGGTAGGTAAATAAAAACAAAATACATCTTAAATCTCTCCTGTGTAACAAATAATTTACAAAATCTTTCATTAGGGAGTGTTTAGTGATGACGTATTACGCATCTTATGAACGATAACTCATTATATGAAGGATAACTCATGTTCGACTTCTTTTACGCCATATCTTCTAGTCATTACCATAGGCAAATCCCCTTTTCTGGGGCAAGATTATGTGCACCAAGTCTCAAGCTGTTAATGATTGGTCTCTCTGTTCTTTTTTTCGGGGGGGGGGGGGGGATATCAGTGTAATTCACAGCATCTGAAATCATCAAAAACAACAATAACTTGATAACATTTTAGTTTGGTGAATTATGAACCTTTTCTCTTTTGAATATTGATCTGATATTATTTGTTTAAATGCTTCTCAGATATGATTTTTAATGAATTTGAGGAAAAATCTTAACTTGCTGAAAAATGAGAAAATCTTTTTAGTTCACCACTCACTTGATGTGCGAATTTCTTGCTGAACATCTGTTCACCTCCTGAGAGTCCAATTTGTTTGCCTACAATTATAAAAAAAGGATTAAATATATGCATAGCAGTAAAAATGCTGCATTACATGTTACAGTGTATTATACTTTCAAGTTAAATACTAAAATCTGATTAGTTTAGATGCATCTAACAATCCTTATTGTTATACTTTTAAAAATTTGTTCCTATACAAATCTATACATTTCTAATGTTTTGCTGAGCGGGCATAAAACAATTGATATTAATTAAACCACTGAGTGAGAAGTTGGACCAGTCAATGAAATATTGGACCGCTTACATGTACATCACACAATTGGTGGAGCTTAATCTAATTTGCATTTGTTGATGTTTAGCAGTGACGGACGTGAAGTTCAAGACAGTACAAGATACATATATACATCTAAATAAATATTAAAATGAAAAGTATCACAAAACATTTACTGACTGTGTTCTCAAGCAAATAAATTTTGTCGATCCTCAAACCAAATTGTCTGCCTTTGGCCTATCTGTCTCAGGCAGACACTTTGGATCTTGGGTCTGATAAAACACAAGCTGCCCTTGAACTCAGTCAGTAATATCTAAAATTGACATCCCTTGTATCAGTTGAAAATGGTTTTCCTCGAGGTGTCAATTTGGATTGTAGCCCTCAAAAACATGCACTATTTATATAATAGTTAGATACAGTTGTGTTCATATGTCTTATAATTATGTACCTTAGTAGTCCATCTGCAAGCAGATTTTTTTCAATCATCCTGCCTAAGTCTGGCCTTCAGTCTACCTTCAACTACAAGTAGTCTACTCCTGGGTAAATTAAGTACTGTAGGGCTGTTTGCTCCTAAGAATTAAACATGAACAGTTCTTAGACAATTGTTTTTAAATTAACAAAAACTAGTTATAAGATTAAACATTCAATCTTATCTGTATATCATTTATTGATTTATAAAAAAATGAATGAAGTTTTTTAATAAATATATTTTATTTTATATACCATGTTGTATAACAGTGTATAATGTCTTATTTAAATTTGTACTAAAAAAAACATTTTAAACCTAAAAACACAGAAAAAATACAATAATACAAATAATTTCTGAACCATTGTGTTTCATTTTGCTCCATAAATTAGACAACTGTTTGTCTCAATGTTATTGATTTTTCCACACAATATATACTCATTTTTCACTTTGATTTGTACCCCAACGGAACACCTTACTTTTCTAACAACTTGATGATTGCTGTGTCTTTAACAATAAGGCTTGTTAGTAATATAACTTGTTGCAATTATATACAAAAAATGCTATTTTTGTGAATAATTATTATTCATAAAACTGACGAACACACGGAAATGATAAATTTTAATCCTCAAATGTTGAACAGTCCCGGGAACATCATACGAAATACATCAATCTATAATATCCTTGCGAATTCCCATTTATCAGTAAAAACCACGTAATTCAATTTCTAAATTATAAATTAAATTGTCAGACATACATAACTAACTTACATGTACAATCTCACTGCACAGTGACCCGACATGACATCAAGCGATCGAGGCAACGTGGGTCTGCAATCTCGCATGTTTGTGACCTTCAACAGTTCAAGTTTCCTTTGGTTGATCGGGTGTCCCGGGCATAAAGAAATGGGTGACTTAAAATTGTTTTAATCATCCCTGGGCTTCTACAATGCTTCAATAATGTTTACGGCTTGTATATTTTACAAAACAATCCTCTCGGGGTTATCTACGGGAAACGACCTGGACATGTTGACATTCGCTACGGAACTGCGCATTTTATGGCAATTGTCGCAAATCAAAGAAAAAATCACGAACAACTTAATTTCTTTAATAGAAATAGACTCAACAATACATAAACTAATAAATAAAACAACAATTATTTATTCAGATTGATTAAATATGTAATTTGCATTTTACGACTTCCAAAATCTATGGAGACCCATTGACGACGTAAAATGCTGACAAGAATCCATCCTTAAGCACTTTTGTAATTATTGAACCAGTGAATCACCTGTACTACGTCATTTTAAGGCTGATGACGTCATATTTGATGAGAGGCTTTTTTTTCTTTATTCAATAAGTTTAAGCCATACGACTCATCAGTACATAACAGGACAGTGTTTTTGAAAGCTTACTAATTAAAATAAATTGGGAAATTGAAATAAATTGGAAATGGGGAATTGTAAACAAACACTATCCACACCTCCGATGAAAATGTGAAATACTGTTTGTTTAATTAATGATTGCCCAAGGTATACTGGTATATCAAAATGTCTTTTATATACTGTGACTGTGTTTGAGCTCTTATTCATCTGAGGACGAACACTATACAGCTGTATAGTTTGAGGAAGGACCTTTTTCAATTTTTGTGATGAAAATTTCATTATTACCCCCTATTCTTGCATTTTGTTGTTTCATTATTCGATCGTCGGTCCATTCGACTGACAGTCGACTATTCGTTGACATCCCTAATTGCTATCAAATATTGCAATTTTACAAGATTTAATAAATAATTGATAAAACAAATAAATCTAGGTTGTTATTTACGCATCGCAATATCGTTAATTAATTTTGTGGCTTGTTATATTATCCATGACCTCACAATTAAACTTCTATACGGTGTACAACGAATTTGAACTCTGACCTTCGTTAACATAGCTGAGTATGAATATTGGGTTATGGCCACCACATCTCGAAATTTTCATCAGAATTTCAAATATTCATAGCAAATAAAACTTTCAAAGAAGAGTGGGGCCCCAGAAAGGTACGAAAACACCACCTGGATTCTGTTATGCATATCACAGGAATGGAAAATGCTATCAGAACAACTGTCAATACAAACACACATGTTACCAGTGTAAGAAAAGTCACTCAGTCCTTCAATGCCCAAGAGGTAATCAGTCAGCCACAAAGAACAGTTCATCAACCTACCCTTCAAGTTCAAACTCATCATCTACCCCTGCAAACAAATAGTTCTGTTGAAAAAATTACTCCCGTTCGGACAACTATTTTAAAACAGCTATTAGAAGGGTATCATCAAAATTTGAAAGAATTCTTATGTGAAGGTTTTGAAAAAGGATTTAGATTAGGTTATGAGGGTCCAAGGCAATCACGCTTTTCTTCCAATTTGTTATCAGCCAAAACTTTTCCAAATATAACATTAGAAAAATTAAACAAAGAGATTACACTTGGTAGAATAGCTGGCCCATTTGACACTCCTCCTTTAGCTAAATTAAATGTTCAGTGTTCACCAATACGAGGGTTGTCCCGTAAAATCGTGGACAAAGCGCTTTTCTCAAAAAGAAATGGGCGCACTTAGCTGAAATTTTCAGTAAATGTTTATTCATCATATTTAAGTGTTTCATAATGTTTTTGATAATATATATGCAAAAATAAAGATTTTATTCCGCTGGAGTGTGCACAGGGTACGGTCCTACGGCGCACGGTAAAAATAACAAGGTTATATTAGAGAATATACAAGTATTAAATCGTAATAAAAGTCTTAAATACACAAGATTAGGATGAAAATTGTTCAAATTAAATTCCTTAATCAATTCTGACGTCTTTTTGAAAATTTCAAGCATTTTGGTTAATTTTTGGCAGTTTCCCGAGCATTCGAAATGGTAAAGTGGTAAACACAATACACGAAAAATGGCGACGTTTTATGACGTTACGGCGCACCGGAGAACAGTTCAGTTAGATTAGGATCTTGTAATGACACCTTAAGAGACTTTAAATGAATACAGAAGAAAGAAAATATGAAAAATATCACCAGATCTTTGAAATATAAACGAAATGGAAGTTTTCTTAGCGAAGTTTTCTTGATCGAGTCCCCAGGTAGTACAAAACATACGGACAGACTGCCATTGTAATTTAGCAAAAGCCACTGTCACTGTCGACCGTCGATATGAGATTCTTTCTTAGTTGAATGATGGTGAGAATACTGTCTGTAACTTGATAATAAATCTTCAGAAGATCGCATGAGTGTGCCACATTAGTTCCTTAACTGGTTATAAACACTCACGTATGAAAATCAAAAAAAAAATCTAGATTTAAGTGGGGCTTATTAAACTTTACATTTAACAAACATGAAACGCGACGCTGTTTTAGACACCTTGACGTTATAATCCGTGCGCCGTAGGGCGAAACAGTACATAACATAAAATGTCACAATTTGTTTATTAATGCATATATCTATTTGAAATTTGCTATGTATATTCATATTATATGTACTAAAGAGTAATGAAAATTTCAGAACGCAGTGATGATTATTTTTCAAACTAGACAACTTGTCCACGATTTAACGGGACAACCCTCGTAGATCTGGTTCCAAAAAAAGAAGCTAATGAATTTAGAATGATTCAGGATTTGTCATTTTTTGACGGGCATTCAGTTAACGACTTTATACCAGACGAATTATGCTCTGTTTCCTATACAACAATCGATGATGCTATCAAATTAATACGGCAGATTGGTCGCGATTGCCTTCTTGCAAAAACTTACATTGCTTCTGCTTTTCAGATAATACCTATTCACTCACTTGACCATAAGTTACTAGGTATTCGTTTCAAAATAAATTTTATTTTGATAAATGTCTTACCATGGGTTGCTCAATATCATGCTCCATTTTTGAAACTTTCAGTACAGCATTGCAGTGGATAGCTTGCAACAAGTTTGGAGTCCCTAACATGTTGCATATATTAGATGATTTCTTATTCATAGGGCCCAGGGACTCTTCAATATGCGGTTTAGCATTACAACAGTTGATATCTTTGTGTGAGGTGTTGAGGGTTCCAATTAAATCAGAAAAAACTGAGGGCCCTTCTTAGTTTTCTTGGGAGTACAACTAGATACAGTAAGGTGGGAAGCTAGATTACCCCAAGATAAAGTCCAAACAATCCGTGAGGCAGTTAAGCTAGCAAAAAATCGCAAAAAGATGAAACTTCGCGAAGTTCAATCTTTGATTAGGCTGTTAAATTTTGCTTGCTGTGTTGTAGTACCTGGACGTACATCTCTGTGTCGTCTCATCAATTTAACAGTAGGTGTAAAAAAAAACCCTATCATAAGATTCGTCTGAATGATAATGGTTATACCAACATAAAAAAATCCTACAACACGATAAATACCTACATTGCAGGTATTTCTTACTATCAGAAAGTACATGGCCTTTCTGACCCAAGTTTTTTTGTCATCAAGAAGCTCCTTAGAGGAGCTCAGCACATCCAATGCACCAGATATCCGTTAACCAATAACACTTCATAGTCTTTTCAACATAGTACATGCGCTTAAACACACAGTGTCTGGGAATTTAACAGACGCCTTCTGACAGCCATGTTTACACTCCGTTTCTTTGCATCCCTGCGGGTAGGTGAAGTAACTGTGAAATCTTAAAAGAATTCAAATAGAAATCTTCTTCTACTTCAAAATTTGTCTTTTGATCCAGTAAGAGGGGGACCTAAATCTATGACATTACCACTCAGACATTTCAAGCATCATGACTCAGGTATTTATTTTCATTTTTTTAAATTTACAATTTGAAACATATCTTTCATTTCAGTAATGATGACCTTTCAGTGTCTTCTGATGGAGAGTGGAAGAAAAGAGGATCAGGGAGATCTTATTCAAGTTTGTTAGGTTTGAAAAATTATTGTTTTGCAGTTACATAAGAATTTTTCATATAATATACATGTATATGTATATCAAAATGACTTGAATAACGGATGTATAAAAACCCAAGTATTATATATTTACGTATTGTTCTTCAGCACGACCATGATCAAAATCATATAAAATTGTTTACATTTTAGGACACGCTGCAATGATTGGAAAGGAGACGGGAAAATGCATTGCATATGCAACAAGAAACAAGTTTTGCAGAGTGTGTGAGAGGGCGGAAAGGACAAAAAAGATATCCCTGAACATGACTGCAGAAAGAATTGGTCGGCATCGTCTAAGGCAATGAAACCGACATGTGTATAGGTAAAATATTTGTACGTTGTTTTTTCGTGTAGTCTGATATGCTTTTTTATTGAATAAAAATGAATTTGAATGTAAAAGCCCAGATAAATTTTACTCATAATTGTATGAATCAGTGAACATCATTTTGAATCTTTCTATTGATCATGATAGAATTTTATCATACCAGATATGATGAAGGATCTGAAGGATAGCAACATTCACATTGGAAGCATCATTATGGATAACGGTTCAACAACCGTTGCTAGAGCTAGATCCGAAGTAAACCCTGCACTAAAGAATTAATGTAATAGAAATCATACTCTAAAACAATTTACAAATAAGCTATATGACTTGAAGAAAAGTAGAAACTACAAGGAATTGAATAGTATGACAATTCAACACTTGTCAAAATGTTTCAAATACTGCATTTCTCAAAATGAAAATGATCCATCAGGTATGAAGAAAAACTTGGAGGCAATTGTAAGACACGTTTTTGGCGATCTCAGTTTCTGTGAATCCTGGTGTAAATATTTAGCATCGCCACTTACATACAAACGTATTCAGTTGCCATACCATAGATATCTCAATAACCTAGATCCATAGGGCGACTTGACATATCTTCTTTGTACACATCACAGGCGGATAAACTAGTAGACCTGGGCAGTACGCAACCGAATGAGAGCCTGAACAAAACCATCGCAAGCAAGACTCCAAAGCAGAACTTCCTCCGGATCAGAAAGCATTGACTTCCATTTGGCTGCTGCAATTGCCCTGAAAAATTGGGTCATCAGTAGGTTACAGAGGTATAAAACTTGTATAATTATTCATTTATTATTTTATACATGCAGTCGTATAGTTTCAAATCCATTATATTTCATTGAATTTCATTGTAGGTAAATGAGCGCTTGCTGTTATCCCCTGGTGAAATTACTTCGTCAAATGCCAGAAAAGTAGACC